GATGATATAGTTATCGTCCTTATAATCATCCAATAGTCTAACGTAATAGTCCATTAAATACATTAAAAGAAAACTAAAAACTGAAAATTACATACATACCATTGATTATTGATTCTAACACGTGAATGGTTTCTGATTGATCCAAAGAGGTTTGTAAAGTTAACACCACTTGTTTGGTTAACGAATGATCCTCCCTCTATATATGTATGTACCTATATTTCTTGAATTGTCTGGTTACAACCAAACTTGCAAAGTTTTAATTTATCGAACCGATTCAAACTACAATATCTTTAAACCGAGTTAAAGATAACTAAACATTCAAATCCGATCGGTTTTCATGGTCTTAACGACTAATAGTTTTGAAACGAAATTGAAGGGTTGGATTTGATTTCTGTGGGCAATCGAATTGGATATATATATATATATATATATATATATATATATATATATATATATATATTTGGAGTATGTATGTATATATGATTAAATAAGATGTCGGCCGTAGTCAAAGGCAGAAATATTTGTTCAAAGATTGTGAGAGTAAAGTGAAATAAAATCTTATGGACGTTAGTTTGAGAGATTCTGGTATGAGACGAAATCGAAGCCCCACTTGGTTTGTTTTACCAGACAAAAAGGTTCCATGGATTTTCTTGTTTTCAAACATAATTTAACAGGGCCGACGCCGACTTCATCATCCACTCCATATACAAACAAAATATCGGTTACCATTTTGATGCTTCCGAATATAAATCGGTTAACGACTACCGTTAAAGAATTCTTTAATATTTATTTATAATTATAATTATTATAACCATCGATTGATCTATATATCTATACTATCTTATAAAACATTTGGCTAAAACTCTTTAAAACTCTTAAACCCGTTCATCCCTATCCGATTTCATCCCATATCTGAATTCGTGTAACTAACTGCAAATAAACACAATCAAATCCAGGATAAACATCTCATTTTAAATATAAAAAATCTAAAATATAATTAGTATAATCATTAAATTCTAACAGAATACTTAATTATTATCTTTATAAAATTTATAATATTAAACCAAAAATAAATTGTTTTATTATTTAAATTATATATATATATATATATATAATATTCTATATTATAAATCATTTGACAAAAACTTTTAAAAACCACTTTTTATGTGTAAAGTACTGTTTATTAATGCATATTACTTAAAACTCAAGATTACAAGTAAATT